GGGCGCACGTCAGCTGCGTGGCCAATCCCGTCAGTGGGGGGGGGGTTCATGCCCCACGTGTGCTATTGGCGTACCGAGATGCCCGATCACTTACGCATTTGGCTTAAGCGGGAGGAGAAGGAGGAGAGGTGGGTGTTGGCCGGGCTTGGCGAGTCGACCAATCGGAGCAGCCGCGGCGTTTCGCTAGGAGCGTAGGCCCCGCCTCCGCCCCGCCGTCTTTAAAGCCTGACTCTATGGTGGCCGGACCGGCGTAAGGGCGTTACGTGGATGAGGCGGGGACAAGAGCTGCGCGTGCGCACTGAGGCAAGGTGACGGTGCTGTTTCTCTTCTTCTGAGGGGAAGCGAAGGAGGACACTTTTCGGCCGCCCGTTCTCGCCTCGTCTAGCCGCGGCCATGAGCTACGACCGGGCCATTACCGTCTTCTCCCCTGACGGGCATCTCTTCCAAGTCGAATACGCCCAGGAGGCCGTGAAAAAAGGCTCCACCGCGGTACGGGGAGGGACAGGCCCTGGAGAGGGGGGAGGGGGGAGAGACGCCGGTGGGTGAAACCGAAAGCCAGAAGGCTCAAGTTTGCTTCATTCATTCCCAGGTGTATCGCTTTTTCAAGGCTGGGGGATGAAGAAGGGCGGGGGCGGGCGTGAATAAACAATATCCCTCCTTATTTAGGGTGGGAATCTCGTTCTCTCTGTCAAGTGTGCAGCTTTTACGTGGGTGCGCGACTTTTACGTAGGGTGCCCTACCGCAAGTGCCTCCATATTGCTGATGCTAGATCATGCTCGAACCTAACGAAGGGGCGGGTAATCTGGGCATTACGAAGGCTCCACTGTGCATTTTAATTCAGAACTTATTTGCATGATTAAGGTCCTTCTTGTAGAATAAAAATAACTGGCAACCCTAGTGTTTCACATTGATTTCACACTTTTAAGATTTTTCCCCCCACACTTGAAGCAGGTTACATCCATAACACGGCAGAGCGAGTCTGGATAACATTCGGACTTGATACGTGGCTTGGCAAAAGCAGAGAGAACACTTCTGGGGTTGCCTGCTTCGGGTTGGGGGAATTCCTGGAGATATTGAGGGGGAGGTTGGGGTTTGGGGAGGGGAGGGACCTCAGCAGGGTATAATGCCCTAGAGTCCATCGCCCAAAGCAGCCATTTTCTCCAGGGGAACTGATCAGCTGAAATTCTGATATCTAGAGATCAGCTGAAATTGTGGTAGAGCTTCAGACCCCACCTGGAGGTTGGCAACAGTGTTCCCTCTAAGCCGAGTTAGTGTGAGCTAGCTCACAGTTTTTTAGCCTCCAGCTCACACATTTTTGTCTTTGCTCAGGAAGGAGGGCTCCAGAGCAAACTAATTTATGCAGAAGCCAAATCGCTCGCTCACAACTTTAATGCCAGTGGCTCACAAAGTAGAATTTTTGCTCACAAGACTCCATGGCTTAGAGGGAACATTGGTTGGCAACCCTAGCTGTTTCACTTTTTCCCAGGCTAGGGGAAGGAGAGAGAGAGTGTGTGTAGGGGGGATGCATGAATGAGTTTGCTTTTTGCCCCTTAGGTGAAGGGGAGTCTGCTTTCCCCCTTTTCAGTGATATATAATCATATCAGTTATATTAATTGTCATTATGTATATTGATATATGTAATATGTCATAATAAGCAAGCTTTACTGGAACCATACCACTTTTTCTTAGGCCAGGAGGATTGTTGTTTTTTTAAAAAAATAAACTTCTTTCCTTTCCATTATTGGGGGAAAAAGCCATTTACAAAGTTAGGCTATGAACTTAGGCTATAACACACTTTCCAACCTGTGAGAGGAGCTGAATTTACGGAATAATTTCAATCCTCTTCTTCCCCTCCCCCATTTAAAGAGGGAAATATTGTGAAGGTTAGCCTTTCCCCCCCCTAGACTGCCCTGTCTTTTTTTTTTTTACACTGGGGGGGGGGGGTGGCTTGCATGATTGCATCCTCTTCCTCCCTCCCTTTTAAACATCTGTACAAATGAGCCTTTATTTGGACTATACCACTTTGTCTCTGAGCTGCAGCAGCAGGAGAGTGGCTTGGTTATACCTGTGGAGCTTCTGCATGTATCTTAAATTATTTCAGACAAGAATTTGTTTTCTGATTTGATGCTCCAGCTACATTTCCATAGAAAACACTTTACAGAAGCACTAATTTCTTATATATGCAAACCAAAAGTGCTGAGCATATGCAGCCCATCTAAAGCAGTCGCAGAAGTCTTGTTGACTTCAGTAGGCTAGGGCTGCATTACAAGTCCTTATTCCAGCTTGAGAAATTCTTAAATATATAGTGATTATCTCAGGGTAGTGTTTAATGCAGTGGCTTCAAAAGATGATCTCTAATGTGTGTGGGGGTAAGGGCCATCAAGTCACCGATGACTTGTGGCAACCCTATGAATTGATGACCTCCAAAACATCTTCCTAGTGTCCTGGCCCCACTGCTGGACCTCCTGATGGCACCTGGTATTTTTGGCCACTGTGTGACAGAGTGTTGGACTGGATGGGCCACTGGCCTGATCCAACATTGACTTCTCTTATGTTCTTATCCTTTCGTTAACAGCCTTGCTCAGGTCTTGCAGACTGAGGGCCGTGGCTTCCTTGATGGAGTCAGTCCATCTCATGAAGGGTCTCCCTTTTTCCCTGCCGCCTTCAACCTTTCCTTGTGTCGTTGTCTTTTCCAGTGAATCTTGACTTCTCCTAATGTGATCTCTAATAGTCTGTCTAATATTCAAGGTTGGAGTACGAGGGAAAAATATTGTGGTCCTTGGTGTGGAGAAGAAATCTGTGGCAAAACTTCAGGATGAAAGGACTGTCCGAAAGATCTGTGCCCTCGATGACAATGTCTGCATGGCTTTTGCAGGTGCGGTAATAAGTGAATATGAGGGAAATGGGAATGGAACCAACTGGTTCAGAATGCAGCTACAGCACAGCAAAGTCATATTTGTTTTTACCTTCCACAAGCTTGGATCTGGTGGAGGGTTTCTGCAGATGGATGGATTTCTCCCCGTGGAGTTTAACTTGCGTGCTTCCCCATTCCTGCTCTCCTGGAGCAGCATTTTGGGCTGCAGGGGGCAGGCGAGAAAGCCATGGTGTGTGGACAGAAATGCTCTGAGGGATCCAAATCAGTGCAATGTCTTATTTGGCTGATTTTCTTGAATATCTTTATTGTAGCCAAGGGTAAAAAAAGAAAATAATTCAGACTAGGTTCTTCTACAGAGTAAGAAATGTACAGATGATATGGCATCTCTCTTAAGTGCCATTTTATTTAATTGTAAGTGCCATTTTAAAGACTGCTTTTTTTCTCCTGCACGACTGTGTCACATTATAAAACTAGGAGAAAATGCATCAGTATACTCTAAAATAATTTAATTATTTTGGTTAGTTTCCGAAGTCCAGGCCTTTGAGTGCGGTGATCATTTACAGGTTGTTTTTTTTTCTATTTTGGTAGACTAGCGATCATTTTCTTGGATTATAGCTTTGGCCATTCATGCTTTAGGTTAGTCAAGGCTGTCTGGATTGCAAAGTGGCTCAGCATTGGTGACAAACAGCAGAAAGGGGAAGGGGTTAGCAAGAAAGAATTCACAACGTTACTTTGATAAATTACTAGAGACTGCAGTCTGTACTACTGTGTACAGCTTGCTGAAACTAGGAGCCTACCGTGTGATTTTTGCATCATTTAACGGATCATGTTAATACTTCTGCTTTGCTTCAGTTCTGTTTTCTAGATTCCTGTTGGTTCCAGACTTCTAGTCATAATTACCTTGTTTATCGAATATCCCGTTTTGTTGATTGTACTGACTCACAATGTGTAATCTGCCTTGATGAGTCCCTGTGAGAAAGGTGGACTATGAATAGCGTAAATAAATGAAAGAGAAGGGGTTAGAACTAGGGATGGGCATGTACTGGGAAGATGGAGGTTCATCCAGGTTCGTGAGGTTTGGGGATTCTTCCTTCCCTCCTTTCTGCTGGTAGCAGCAGATCTCGCAAAAGCCATTTAAAGGGAATGTTCACTTTAAATGGCTTTTGCAAGCCACAGGGGGAGTAAAAATCACTGAAAGGCTGGAATGGATGCACGCCATTTCAGTGATCCCTCTCCTGCTTCCCACCATGTACCTCCCAATAACCACTGGGAGAGTCAAGGATAGGGATGGGCATGAACCAGCGATGCTCATCACTGTAACTAGGTTTGTGAAAAGATTCATGCCCATCCCTAGTTAGCACTCTTGCCCTGTCACTTTCAGTTCTGAATCCTGAAGCTGTTTCTTTGTAAAAAGAAGAAAGCGGTGTAACGTCATTCCATGTGTACGTTTGTCCTAATGCTAAAAATCATGGTTGTAGTATATTTGAAGATAAACACTGGATGCTCCCTCTACTATTGTTCATCCCTCCCCCAAGACATGGAGTAAATTAAAAATGTAGTTGGTAACATGTTTTTGAAATCCATGTAGTCACAGACATGTATTTGTGATCTTTTCGTGTACCCTGTTTTCCTCCTGTCTCTTCAGTAATAAGTTTTGTGGTGTAGAGATCCTGCACGTGCACTGTGGAGTGCTGCATCTCCTTAATTATTCCTGTTGTTTGCAGGGCTCACAGCGGATGCCAGGATAGTCATAAACAGAGCTCGGGTGGAGTGTCAAAGCCATAGACTTACAGTGGAGGATCCTGTCACTGTGGAATATATTACACGTTACATTGCTAGCCTGAAGCAGGTATGTACAAAGACGACAAAGATGGTCTCTGTTAAGTGGAGCCTGATTTTTAGAGCAGACTCCCTTCTCTTGCGCCAGTGACCTCCTCCAAACAAATGGAACATAAAGCATTTGCTTTGTCTAAGAGAAAGTGAGTAGATGTCTTGCCAGTTTGTTCCAAAGACAGTGGAAAACAAATGTGAAGTAGTCTTTGCCTGGCTGCCAGTGCTTGGAATCAGGATCCTCTCTAATGGTGTGTTTAGCTATAAACATGCCTCTGCTCCCCAATTTAGCTGTGTTGTACAGTAAGGCCTTTTGAGTGGACATTTTCAAAGCCTGCAAAAAAACAATATATATTTTAAGAACTATAATATCCAACTTCTAGTCTTGGGTGTCTTCCTGTCTGCTCCCACTTGATTCAGTAGAGCAGAAGGCCTCGTGAAGTCCCTTAAAGCCTGAATGTGAATACACTGATTACTAAATGTACTCTTCTAGAGGAACGTTTCATTTTGGGCGGCTCAAGCCCTCAGTTGCCATTCTGATCCTAAGGAAATGTTTCTGCAGACAATTGCAAGTAATGCCTGTTTCCCTCTGTAAAATCGAACAGGTTAAGAACAAGTATCGTGTTGCTTTGAATTCTCACTGAAGTACTAGCTGAGAAATTGTTACAGGTTGTAACATACACAGTTCTGCTAAAAACAAAATTTCTGTTAACTCCTCAGCGGTATACCCAGAGCAACGGCCGCAGACCTTTTGGTATTTCTGCCCTGATTGTGGGATTTGACTTCGATGGAACTCCAAGGCTTTATCAGACTGATCCCTCTGGTACCTACCATGCTTGGAAGGTGAGGGTTACTTGGGTTCTCCTGCCACGCCCCCCCCCCCAAAAAAAAGAATAGAAGTCTGTTTCTATATATAGTCATAATTTAATCCATTGCCATTGATAACTTGAATAGGGTAAGGCAGTACGCCATCTTACCCAGTGTTATTTCCTCCCATGCTCTGCTTGTGTCCTGTTCTGGGCTGCTAGTGGTCCCTTTGGGAAACTTGGTCCATAATAATGTGCTGATTAAAATGTTAGCACACTTAATTAGGCTGAAAAAAATATATAAAAGGCATTATGATTACGTGACTATTGGAGTTCACTGCACCATTCTTTGTTGGTGGCCAGAAGCAGTGCAGTGACTGGGAACTGGGAACAATCTGCAGGTAAGCTAGTGGACTAACAAGAACAGCATGAGAAAAGGAATTGTCACTCGACCCGCCAGGAGTGCCGAGTTTTAGTTCCCCCCTTTTCAGATACCACCATATAGTCGGATTTCTTTCTCTTGAGGACTGCCTGTTTGAAACATTACCGGCTCTGAGCGTTAGAAATACTAAGGGGGAAAAATTGAAATGCGAAGATGAAAGATAAATCATGTAGGTTGTCTTCTAGTTCCTTTTAATCTTTTTTAAAAACTACCTTAGGCTAATGCCATTGGCAGAGGAGCAAAGTCAGTGCGTGAATTTTTGGAGAAAAACTACACTGATGAAGCAATTGAAACAGATGACCTGACCATTAAGCTTGTCATCAAAGCCCTTCTTGAAGTAAGTATGAACATCTGAATTACTGTGTATTGTCTTGGTTACCCAGTTAGATTTTTATGCAATCCCATCTATTGCAAGGTTAGAAAATTGGCTGTTGAAATAGCTTTGCATTTCACATCTAATAAATTTAAATATATTGATGTAATTCAATAACCATTAAACTGACGAACCTAGGTCCAGTGCTCACGGAAGGGGAAAAGGCACTCTGTGTGTTGCTTGCATGTGTCTATCGCTTACAGCTTGGATTGAAATTTAAAACTTCTCACATTGTTTAATATCAACGCTGCACACAAAAGTTTATATCCAGAATCAAACTTTGTTGGTCTTAAAGGTGCCACTGGACTCAAGTTTTGTTCTGTTCTTTCAGACCAACATGACTACCCTCCTGAATTTACTGTTTACTTACTATTCATTTTCTTGGTTTAAGGTTGTACAGTCTGGTGGGAAAAATATTGAGCTAGCTGTTATGAGAAGAAACCAGCCTCTCAAGGTAAGGTATTGTTAATACTGCATTTTTAAAAAGATCTGGTCAATATTGTGCGGTCAGTAGTCAGAGGATTTGCATTGCAATTTGTATGTACGTATTGCAGTTAGTTCATTCTGTGAGCAGAAAGAGGTTGCTTTCAAGCAAGCTGCACGTTCTACCCCTTCAGCTTGTTTTCTAATCTCTGCATGCACAGCACCGTTACCTGTCCTATCCCAGTGGCATTTTCTCTACAGTTTGTGGTAACAGTACATCTATAACAGTCATTACCTTGGTCCTCCCTTCTGGAAATCCCAGTGCATTTTTTTTGGCCCAGTGCTTTGGAAACTACGTCCTTAGCTGTCCATAAGCCTGACAAGAAAGGCACTAGCAAGAAAGGCACAGTTGTTTGTCCCTTCAGCCTCCTTTCTACAATGTAGTTCAGCAGTGGAATCAGCTGCCTAGGGAGGCGGTGAGCTCCCCCTCACTGGCAGTCTTCAGGCAACAGCTAGAGCTGGACGAACACTTGTCAGGGGATCCTTTTGGCTGATTCTGCATTGAGCAGGAGGTTGGACTAGGTGGCTCGGATAGCTCCTTCCAGTTCTATGGTTCTATAGTCCTATGAGCAGTCGGAAAACACTTCTGAACACATACAAGGGTGTCAACAATTTGTCAGATCTCCACCCCAGTTTCCCAGGTGCTTAGGACAGATCTCTTAGAGGAGGGGAGTGAGGAGTCATGGTGTGTGTGTGTTGGGGAGCTGTTAGAACTCTGAGGTATCTTCACACAAGTCCTTTGGTAACAGGACTCTGATCACGTCACTTCTGTATTGCAGATCTTGAGCCCCGAAGAGATTGAAAGATACGTTGCGGAAATTGAAAAGGAAAAGGAAGAAAATGAGAAGAAAAAACAGAAGAAAACATCGTGATGAATGAAATCTAATTCCCATGTTGTTGGCTTTTGGTTTTAAAATCAATCATGAGTTAAGTCTGTATAGCTGCGTAGGCATTCCATTTTCTTGTTCTGTGCCCTTTGTAAAAGGCCTACAATAAACCACCTGGTTTTTTAAAGCTTGTTCCTGTAATGTGTTCCTTTCTTCAGCTTAACACTGTAGTGATCACAACGCTTTGCGTTTCTGTAATAGATGGAAATCTGTTTGCATAAACTGACACCCACTTTGGCATAAAAAAATGCTGTCTCATAGTCCGTGTTCTTTTACTGCTCATGGCTGTCTTCTGTCATGTATGTTGATTTGCATTTATCTGGCATAACGTTTGAGTCCTACATTGCTTAATTCAGCTATACAAGAGGATTCAAATGTAAGCTTGGGGTAGAACCTTATTTGTCAGTCATGCTTTTCCCTTGACTGAATGTCACAATTTAAAACTAGAAAGGTGAATTCAAAGTCAGCATGTTACTCAAAAAAACCCAACACCCCTCTAGATTGACTGTACAGCTGACAATGGGGATGAGTTGCTACCTAGTCTATTTATGCTGATTTCTGTAATAGGGCATCCACTGTACAGGTGGGAATGGGGGGCTGTATGTTGCAAAATGCACACTTAGGAAAGAGAACCACTGAAATGATGGCTGCCTTGTGCAGGCACCTCTTTCCTCAAACTAAGTGGCATCGTCTGTATTTGCATTTGGGCTTGAAAAACTATATGTACATGCAGGTGGTAAATGGTGGGGTGAAAAGGCAAACTGGCTGTATACAACTGCCTGTGCCCTTGTATGGGACCTGCTTCAATGTTAGGGAAACCTGTTCCTAAAAACTGAACTGCCTTTGTAGTTACTGTCAATGTGGTGACTGGGCACAGCTCTGCCAGCAACGCTTAACCACTGCAGTCTCAGGCCTGGGAATAGCAGGCCAAATGAAAGCACACTATACCACATAGTCTGCAGGTACAACTACATCCTATCAGTGACCCCCCCCCCCAAAGTCATTATGGATCAGCAAAAACTCAAAATACTTGGCATTAGAAGAAATCTCTTGCACCTGCTAGTGTTTACTTGATTTATACCCTGCATTTTGACTGTCCTCCCATTTTATCCATGTAACTACCCTGTAATGTAGGTTAGGCTGAGAGTATGTGAGTGGCCCATTGTCACCCAGCAGGATTCCATGGCAGAGGGGGGGGGATATGAACCCGGCTCTCCCAGACCCTGGTTTGACACTCTTCAGTTACACCACATTGGCTCTAGTGTTACGCTGCTCCTGGAACTTGTAATGGGCATGAATCTGGTTTACTGCTGGGCTTACATATTTGCCCAGTCTTTGTGCTATGTGGTAAATTGGAGCTGAAAGCTACTGTGCTATCTTGACTGGACATCTTTAACAATTGAGATTTTTCACAGTAACCAGAACCAAGCAGAAGTTACTTTCAGAAGGGAGTGAACAAACCGGCAATGGGGTTTGATGTCTAAATTGAGCTGCCTTGGCTTACATAGGAAGTCCCCTTAGAAACGCCCCTTTTGCTTTGCCCTTCTCATTTTGTTGGGTGTAAATTCAAAAAAACACATCCTGCAGTTCTGACTAGAAAGGTTTTGCACACCATAAAACTGGGAGAGAGCTGCGTTGGGCAATATTCCAGTTATAGTGCCTGTTATATTAATGCAACCTTCATGCTTAGGACAGGAAGCACCCAAGTAGATAAGCTACAATGTAGGCATGATCCCTTCTGAGACAAAAATAAGGCAGTTACAAAGGTAGGCTGAACCTCGTAGACCAGATAGAGACTGGAGGAGGCAAGTTAGATAGCGAAGCCTCCTAGGTTGCCCACACTGAAGACAAAGGGGAATGACTTAAAAAGAGGAGCAGGAAATGCTTAGAGAATCATTCCTGGTTCTTTGAAATGTAACCTTTTTGTTCACAAATACCTGAAAAAGATGAAATTTCAGATACAAAAAACCCCCAGATTCCATGTAAATCATTAAGAAAATACACAGTACAGTCAAAATTAGGCTTATTATCTCCTTCGACAGCATTTGTATAAATGCTTGAGTAGCTAGAAAAACAGAAAGCCCGGACCCTTATAACCCTTTGCAAGATCAGATTCATTTCCTAGGTTAGAAAGGATCAAGAGAAGGCAGGAAAATGTGCACAAAATTAGGACCACGCAATCATAGTTTTGCTCTAACTATAGATCCATCACTTTCATGGTCCAATTTTGGTGTAGTGGTTAGGTGTGCGGACTCTAATCTGAGAGAACCGGGTTTGATTCCCCACTTCTCCACTTGCACCTGGCTGGATGACTGAAAGCTACTGTGCTATCTTGACTGGACATCTTTAACAATTGAGATTTTTCACAGTAACCAGAACCAAGCAGAAGTTACTTTCAGAAGGGAGTGAACAAACCGGCAATGGGGTTTGATGTCTAAATTGAGCTGCCTTGGCTTACATAGGAAGTCCCCTTAGAAACGCCCCTTTTGCTTTGCCCTTCTCATTTTGTTGGGTGTAAATTCAAAAAAACACATCCTGCAGTTCTGACTAGAAAGGTTTTGCACACCATAAAACTGGGAGAGAGCTGCGTTGGGCAATATTCCAGTTATAGTGCCTGTTATATTAATGCAACCTTCATGCTTAGGACAGGAAGCACCCAAGTAGATAAGCTACAATGTAGGCATGATCCCTTCGGAGACAAAAATAAGGCAGTTACAAAGGCAGGCTGAACCTCATAGACCAGATAGAGACTGGAGGAGGCAAGTTAGATAGCGAAGCCTCCTAAGTCGCCCACACTGAAGACAAGATCAGATTCATTTCCTAGGTTAGAAAGGACCACAAAGAGAAGGCAGGAAAATGTGCACAAAATTAGGACCACGCAATCATAATTTTGCTCTAACTATAGATCCATCACTTTAATGGTCCAATTTTGGTGTAGTGGTTAGGTGTGCAGACTCTAATCTGGGAGAACCGGGTTTGATTCCCCACTTCTCCACTTGCACCTGGCTGGATGACCTTGGGCAAGCCCTAGCTCTGATAAGAGTTGTTCTTGAAAAAGAGCAGTTTCTGTCAAGAGCTCTCTGAGTCCCACCTACATCACAGGGTGTCTGTGGTGGGGAGGGGAAGGGAGATTATAAACCACTCTGTGAAGGGCTGGGTATAAATCCAGTCTCTTCTTCAAATATGTTTTTTTAAAAATACGTAAGACTATAGGAGAGACCTAGGAGGACACAGACCGTTGATAGTTAAGCAGCACTGACTGCCATGGGCTTGCCCCAAGCCAGGAACATTAAGAGGGTGGGAAAATCAACATTATACTTCTCACAATTTCACAAGTCTATATAGTGCCCTTCAGTAGGTGAAAGGAATTAGATCATAATGAAGACGTGCGTCATTGAAAGCATTTTGCTAGGGGCGAAGGCAGCTGGCTGGTAGACCCAACAGAATTGGAAAGAGCGTTCAAGTATGCTCGGTCGCTGTCCTTCAGCACCGACACTTCTGTCTTCCGAGTAACTCAGAGTTTACTAGATCCCGGAGCCTGTGAAGTGCCCTTGTCTCTTGTAGTAGCTAACAGCTTAGAGCACTTGACTGCTCTACCTCCAAGCAAGTAACAATCGGGAGTTTTAGATGTACAGAGTTATTTCATTTCAACCAACCTCTTTGAACAGCTGCCCCAAAGCTCCTCAATGGTTGGAGTTAACTATACCAGTGCAAGTGCCTCTTCTGTAATACAAGGTTGTTGTGGTTGTGCGGGAGAAAGGTGGTTGTGCGCTAGCTTAGACAAGGCCTCAAATTCACAGCAGCTTGACATAATTGGCTTGCGGTGTTTATGCACTTCTATATGGTTTTGCATTTTTGCTTGCTTGGAAGCCCGAGTAATTCGTTTTCTAGGCCGGTTATGAATATGGACGAGTATATGGCCCGCCTGCTTCTTTACCCCAATCAATTCACTTTAATGGTTAGAGGCAAGTGGCACATGAAAGCTTATACCACGAACAAGTTTCTAGTCTTAAAGGTGCCACTGGACTCAAACTTTGTTCTGCTGCTTCAGAACAATACGGCGACCAGTGTTCCCTCTAAGCTGAGTTAGTGTGAGCCAGCTCACAGTTTTTTAGCCTTTGGCTCACACATTTTTATCTTGGCTCAGAAAGGATGGCTCCAGAGCAAACTAATTTATGCAGTAGCCAAATAACTCGCTCACAACTTTAATTGCCAGTAGCTCACAAAGTAGAATTTTTGCTCACAAGACCCCACAGCTTAGAGGGAACATTGACGGCGACCCCACCCGAATCCAGAGTTTTCTGTAAAGCCAGCTGTTTCTCCAGCTTCCCCTTACAACGGCAGTTTTGAAGACAGAAACTACTAATAACCCAAGGACAGTATTAAGAACCCCCCCCCCCATCCTGTATCACAGTACCCAAACCCCAGGTGCCATCGGGAGGTCCACCAGCGGGGCCAGATGACCTAGCATTAAACATGCACATTTTCTCATAGGTTCCACAGGTCTTTACCAAAAGAAATACCCTTGCCAGAATATCATCAGAACACAGCCCGTGCCAAGTTCAACCTCAAGAGCCAGAATCAAACCCAGTTCTCCCAGATTCGAGTCCGCTCACTTAACCACTACACCAAACTGTCTCTCTCAGGTAGCTCACAGGGTGATCTTGGGCTAGCTACTCAGCCTGAATGACCTCACAGGATTTTTCTAAGCATGAAATAGGATCATGGGACCATGTAGACGACCCTGAGCTCCCTAAAGGACGTCATAAATCAAAATGATAAAAAAGACTGGTCCCTCCAGAATAAGGGCTAGAAACTTTAAACTGGACTTAAGTGCCAAACCACCAATTCATCTAACACTTCCAGATAGTGATCCTGATTCCCCCCCCCCCTTCAAACATTCAAGAAAGGTTACAAGTTAAGGTATACTGGAAAGCACCCACAAGGCCGCTGCCTTTTATGGGTATGTTAAAGACGTAACCTCTCAGAGCTAATCTCTGGGTAGCAGGGAAAAGTTGAGTAGGGAAGTCTTGCCGTCTATGGTTAGCACCTTCTCTCAGCACTTGTCCGCCGCTCTGGGAATCTTTCCCTTTCGTTCCGGATCAGGTGGGATTACTCAGAAACATCTGGGAGTCAGAGACGACACGGTGGGAAGCTTCAAACATTTACATGTTTTATTTAGACTGATTCCAGGAGCAGCCTCATCACAGTATTTCAATCCTTAGTGATGCAGGCCTACAAAACAACCCCCCCCCACACCCTTAATTGTACAGCAACTTAATACCACAGGGGTGGGGAGGAAAAAAATAAGGCTAGCCATTGGGGGGGGGGTAGGGTTATGGGATCCATCAGAAGAAGCCTTTCAAACAAAACGCTCCTATAAGCTAATAAAGGACACACATGCCTAGTACTAAAAGGCTTGACTTCACTTTCATGCAAAAGTTTATAATCCCGGCACACACCCTTTAAGCACCCCCTCCCCAACCATTTTTTTTAAAAAACCCAAACCCAAAAATATTCAGCTATTTACAAGTTTGGGGAGAGAAGCAGAAGAACTGAGCATGCTGGTTTCATGATCTCTCTCTCCCTCGCCGCCCCCTCCCCTTGCCGGCAACCCAGCACACAATGCACATCCTCTCAGGGCTTTTCTGTCATGAGGGAGAGAGAGTCCAAGCCTAGCCATAAAAGACTTTCCCCTCTTGAAGGGAAAAAGGGGGTGGTGGTGGTAAGGATTCCAATCTCCTCAAAGTGTTTACTGTGTGGACAGCCCGTAATTTCGGCCTTCCTTTAAGCGGAAGGCTCAGTCTGTGTTCAGTTTGTGTTGTTAAACTCGTGAGTGGCCAAACAGAATGGCCTTCGACCGTAGGCCGTTCGGAAACATCTCAACAGCGTTCCTTCTGAGGGGTGACCAAGCTCCCCGGAGAAGTCCTACATCTCAAGTGGTGAACCCAGAACTATATCATCAGCAACTTCCCTCATCACTTCACTACACACAACTCTTTTTTCTCTCCCCACCCCCCCCCCGGAATTCCATTTCTAGACACCAAAAGTAATCGGCTTGAACTGAAGTGGGGGTGACGGGGCAACAGAAGGAGACCTGCGAGATCTTGGGTTCCTCAGAACGAAACAAAAAAAACCATCACACACTCAAAAAAAAAACTAAAACAAAACACAGGAGTTGCTGGTTTCAAGTGAGCTTTGGTTCTTCTTGAAGAACTGAGAATTATTTCCTTCAGGAGACGAGAACGGGGTGTCGTGGTTCAAACTGCAGCAGCCTTTGGAACCTCAAAGCAGCACCTTTAAATTCCTCGCACTTCTTTAAAAAATGAAGAAAAAGAAAAGAAAAATATATCCTTGGTGGTGATTCTGCACTCATTCAAGACCGCTCCTGTGCTCCGATCCTGGTTCTGACACAGAGCGACAGTGCCTTCAGAGTAAAAGCATATAAACACGGTGCTCCATTCATCCCACGCTTATGTGGAGCTCTTCGGGCTGTTCCCTCCTTCCTATGTACACACCTTTTTTTGCAGTCTGCTTGAGAACCTATAGGAGGAACACACACATCTCTAAGTTTTACATACACAGGAGCATCCCCTTTGCTAGTTACTCCCTAGGCTGTGCCTCTAGCACCAGGATGGACCTCCGACTAGTCAGGAGAGCAGAAAAGGCCACTATCCAGAACCAATAGATGAGTCTAAAAATGGATCTCTTCTGTATGTGCCACCAAGAGCTCCTTGAAAGCAGAACAGAATAGAAAGACACAAGGGGGAGGGACCCTGAAACCCTGTCCTGGAAGTCATTCATTTGCATGTGAGAATGCAGAACCCACCAACCAACATGCATTTCACCAATCTTTAATGGAAACAAGAGCATAAGAGAGGTGCCTTCATTGGTTAAGAGTAAAAGCCAAAGGGGCATAACTTGGGGAGGCCCTGATACAATGAACGTTGGTCAACTAATGAGGGGCCCTGAACTTCAGAGTATTTCACCGTTTGATTCCTTACCTGAAAAGTTCACACCCTTCCCGTCCCCACTCGGGATGTCGCTTGAGTTCGTCGCACGGCACCAGATCCCCTTCCACCGCGAAACCCCCCTCTGAAGCTACGGCCACGAAGAAACCGGCCAGACACGCCAAACGTCTCTGTGTTCAGCTTCCGTTCTTCGGCCCATGTTGTTCGCCTGGAACTAGAAGAAGAGTTGGTTTTTAAACCTCACTTTTCTCTATCCCAAGGAGTCTCAAAGTGGCTTACAATCGTTTTCCATTCTTCCCCCCCACCCCCAAATCACAGGTGCCTTGTGAGGCAAGCTGAGGCTGAGAGTTCTGAGAGAACTGTGACTGGCCCAAGGTCACCCAGCAGGCTTCATGAGGAGGAGGAGCGGTGAATCAAACTCGGTTCTCCATTCTCTCTTAACCACTACACTATGCTGGTTTTCAACTAAACAAGACCAGATCAGTTATGCTGCCATGGATGTGTTCCCCCACCACCACTCTTGTCCCAGAGGAGAGGGAGCTGCTGTAGGTTGCAGTGCTGCTGTCATGAACATTGATCTTTGTGTTACATCCTTTATGCAATCCACAAGACACAGTTCTATATTCCTGTAAGGCCCTTCCCAAAGATGGTTTAGAAAACCTATTCATGCCTGCCTGAAGAATAAGGCACAGAGAGGTCCTGTTTTTAAATCCTAACACTTAAAAAAAGGAGTCTAGACCAAGGCCAAAGATTCAAGGTCAGGTTACCTGGATTTCAGTTCAGATGAGATGTTGTCGAAGAACGACTTTGATTTGTCGTAGTAGCAGTTGGGTCCGAGGAGGTCTTCGTCTGCGTTGCCATCGCAGTTCTCAGCAGCCACGGTAGGTTCCCCCTTCTCTTCTCCCGTCTCAACTTTGTCATCTGAAAAAGGAGGCGGCAAGCAATTATTTTTCCAACTGGAGGCTCGATTCATCTGCTCCAAAAAGGCTGCACCTACCGGTTTCCACGTCACAAGACGTAAAGCACAGCCACAGACCTTTAAAGTTAAGCTTCTTCTTGAATTCCTTGTCCAGCTCCTCCCGGTTAAACTGTGCATTTGCGCTCTCGAAGTCAAAGTCACCTTCAAACTTGATTGTATTCTCTTTCACGGTAGCTGGCCGGTTTTGCCCCCTGGAACGATTCCGGGTTCGCCGGTTCCCTGAAGTGTTAAAACACACACACATGTTTTGGAAAACAAAGAAAGGTTTGCAGCCTTAAGCAAGCCATGACAAAGAGTTCCTTGCATCTAAGTAAGGTAATCAGGCTGCATTTCTTAAAGGTCGTTTTAACTCCACTGAAGAGGTAGTCCTAGCAAACCCTTTGCTCTGGGCACTCGTGACAGTAAAGCCTTTGCATTCTGAGCTAGTCCTGCATCATGGAACCCCACATGTGAAACTCACGTACTAGAACCTGCATGCCTGTAAATATATTCTAGGGTTTGTTAGGCTGGATGGATGAGCATTTGTAGCTCTCAAGTGGTAACTCCCTCCCCATCCACCTGAGGGGCTTGAACTCTTCTGTATGATGTTGCTGCCTGCAGCTGTCCTTTACGGAAAGCCTTAAGTTACCCCCACAAAGTTCTCAACAGTTAACTGGAACCGTCATTCCCTTGAAATCTATTGAAAGAAGGCATGCCCATCGTCAGCTCAAAGTTATTGCTAACAGATCCCACTGCTTTATGGATCATTATGAGGTGCCTTCAGTCATATATGCGCTTCTATTTCAAAATACAGAATGAATTGTCATGCCTCTTTCTTCTAGCCCTTGGTATAACCAGGCCTGGCCAGCCAAAAATCCATGCTCTTTGGCCCAATCTCTTATACTGCAGAAGCAACAATGGGGAAGGGAGTGCTATAAATTCTCCAAATCTACCTGTCAGGTTAACATACCTGATCTCCTCCTCTGGGGCCTTCTATTTTCATCGTTCACCTGTCCTTGTGTCTGTACAGGTGCTGGCTCAACTGTATCTAAGGCAAAATAGGAAGGTCTGTTCACACAACCGTGTAACCACTGTGCTGAAAAGGTATCGGGAAGAGGTACATGCAAGCAGACATCGGGAACTCAAAGTACAAAAAAATTAAGGGAAAGCTTTTCCGAAGGGAGTTTTGTACCAGTTGTCTTGTTACTTTGTGGAATTGACCGTGTGTTGCGCTGGATGCCTGGGGTGACTTACGGAAGAGCCTTTTTGGGATTCAAGTTGTCAATGGGACCCGTCTGAACCGCCTGCTCCACCATTGGGCTTTTACGCACTGAATGAACAGATGCAAAAGCAGCGCCTGGAGGGAAAACCAAGAAGTGTCAAAAGCTACTGTGACCCCCGACTTAGAGAACCACTCTCCTGGCTTTAAGGCCAATCAGGTTCAGAAGCCTTCTCTCTCTCACACACACACACACACACAACGCTTTCAGACCAGAAAGTTCTCCAGAAAAAAAAAAGACTAGAAAGCGTTTTCTAGGAGCCTGAGACATCTAAGGAATGAGCACGTTTGGTTTTACTGTAGTTCACAGAGAAAGACTGAGCATCCTCAACCGTCGATCTGTTGGCAGGATCTTAATTGACACGGCAATCGCATAAAATGTGAAGAAGCTACCCCAACAGTTTTGTCAGAGAAATCTGAACAAAAGGGAAAACTAGGCCCCACTCCCCTGGCTCAAGGAGTTCTCAATTTCTTGCCGGTTACAAATCAGAGATGCTGAAAAGCACTTCTTGTTGCTTTCTGCCGTCAAGTCACAGCTGACTCATGGCGACCACGTAGGGTTTTCAAGGCAAGAGACCTTCAGAGGTGGCTTGCCCCTGCCTGCCTCTGTGTAGCAACCCTGGACTTCCTTGGTGGCCTCCCATCCAAATACTATCCGGGGCCAACCCAGCTCAGCTTCTGGATTATCCAGGTCAGGGCTAGAGAACCATTGAAGAACTCCAACAAAATATTCTCTTCTTACAACAAGGTTTTAGCTCCATTTGTAACACAAAGGCTTAGTTAACAATAACTCCCGGGCATAATGTAGACATACACGATTTTTAAGAAACTTTAGTTAAGTGTGTCCAATGAAGCATTCAGTGTTATTTTCTGTTAAATACCCAAATAGTCTTACAGCAATGGTACAAGACCGTTGCAAATATACCACTTTTGCTTACAATGAATTATGTATTGCGTTCAGCTTTTATTTTTTTTCTCTTCTCCCTTTGGCAAAAACTAAGATACATATGCAAAGGCAACATATGGTGCAGCAGTTTACAGCTTGCTGTGAGGAACTGGGTATATTTGCAATTTTGCTTATAGGAAGACTAAGGCATTTATACTGTTAAAAGTTCTATAAATATGCCACATGACACAATTCCATATGCTAAGTTATAAATGATGCATTTTATTGTTGTTAAAGCAGTAACATAAGTTGAGGTTTGATATTTTCAATTTCCCCCAACATTTGTTTTTTGCTGAAAAAACAAAACATGATTCCAAAGTTTTCAGAAATGTTCTATCCAACTCCAGTTTGGAGTCTTACGTTCTCCGATATAATATTCTTGGGAACTGCAGTTTGTGTGAAGGGGTTAAGAATCCAAGGACCCTTTTGACCCTCAAAGAACAACAGGCATGATTTGGGGCAAAGCATGAGCATTAAGCTGCTTTAAACATCTACGTGCCTTTCCAACAGGAAGATTTAGTGCAAGTTCTGACAGGTTTTGACCCCCTCACAGTTCTAGTTATATCGAAGATGAAGTAGATTCCTATCCATACCACACTTCAAAGCAGGCTAGTAACGACTTACCATTCATGGTAAGACAAGAGCACCCCCACTTAGCAATCTACCATTTGTGAACTTCCCACCTATTTTGTGCCTCAGATGTGCTCTAAACACACACACGATTCCACTTATACTGACAAAGCGCATAAATGAAGCTGCTGAAAGGGGAAAAAACAGAATAATGGAATTTTTGTGTGGTTTGGTACAGAATTTGATCTTTCCTGGCATATGGACAGCACTAATCGGTATGTGTCTATGTCAGAGATTTAAAGTGTGATTACATTCCTGTCTCTGAATACTGGGCAACAATCCCAAACCCAGGCCCGTAGCTACAGTGGGGCATCTCAGCCCCCCCCCCACTTACT